CACCCTCTAAATTCCATTCTGTATAAATATGGTGGACCAATTAAAAGTTGTCTAAATGTGTTAAGTCTCTTATTAAAGGTTTCTATCCCAGATAAATTGTACTTGAAGTTTGCGGTAACCAAACCAATATAGGTTCGTTTTCTACGAGTATCGCTAAACAGGATACAGATCAGACTAGTGAGTACGAACAGACACGAACGAACGCGAATGAACAGCTTGCTTCAATGAGATGCGTTGTGACAAATCGTTTGTTTGCTCTTATTCGCTTGGTCTTCATACGTTCCGCATTTTCTGTGCTTCGCATTTTCACCCGATCATTACGTGCATGCATGAAGTGTCCGAGCACTGTCGTCCTGTAACTTCAGTCCCTCGGTCAGTTTTGAGTCTTTTATTATAGAATTATAAATTAATCCCGCAATATATAGAACGAGAATTTTTCAATATGAAATATTTTATTTCAGTATTATATAAAAATTGCCCGCAAAAATGTTATTACCACTAAGATATCCGCTTCGACCGAATGAAATCTTCCCTTATTCGCTTATTTATATTAAAATATTTTGATTGTTAAATCTCAAATTACAACTTCGACAAAGGGATTGACGGGTACTCTGGTACATTGTATGTACATACATTGTCTGTATATATTATGGCTGCTTATCGTGCGAAATACACGTGTACACGGATACGCATCAAGCGGATAGACGTGATAATTCCCTCATACATGTAAATGTAACTGTACATAGCATCCACAATATGCATGCATACAGGTACATATATATACAGTACGTATAGCGAAATTACAGTTGTACTAAATACCAATCCTTGACTGCGTGTATAATTATCCTGGCGTATCGGTTAGACGGTCTTGTGTGCAGCTCTTCGCAGTGCGTCTACGCTCATGTATTTACATACATACATATATGATACGTATGTATGTGTCCTATATCTCGACAATTTTAGTAGACCAAGCAGCTATCAACGCAGGAGGCGACTCCACACCTATACATTTACATAAGTGTCTGTCATCGTCTGTGTTCTATAATTATATACATATTTAGGTACCACGATTGGGTACCATCTTGTATACGCTTTACCTGCGTTTAAGAATAAGAATGCACTTTTTTACGTGCTTCGTGCAAACTCGATAAAAACGATCGACGCTGGAACGTGTAATTTCGATAAAAACGCACAGTAGCGATCTGTGTACAGTGTACATACACAACGCGATATGCAATTTCGATGTTAGAGTCTCACGGGGTTTAGATCCGTATGTATATGCATACATGTGTATGGGGATACAAAGTCGCAACTAGATTACGAGGGTTCGATAGCCTGCAGGATCGAAGGGTCACCTGCGGGATACAGTAGTGGCTTATCCTTCGATTTCTCTCTTTGCTCCTCTTTCGTCACGTGGAATGAAATATAGAGAAACGGTGACTATTTCGTATCACCGCCAGCGATACGTCCTTGACGACAACGGAACGGTAGTTACAGTCCATTGTTGTTACCTGCCTTTTTTCCAGAAATCTTTGCCCACCCGTGGCGATAATATTCTGTCGAAAGACATCATTTCCGTCGCTACGAGTTCTTGCGTAACAATGAAAGTAATCTAAAATACCTAAATCCATAGCTTTCAACCAATAACTTAATTTTTCATTCACCACTGTGAATCTTGGACCTTTGCGTCAGCAAATTGACTCTTCGAGCTTTGGCGTAGATTTATATTCCGAATTGTATAAAAATTTGAAAAAATTCTTGCATATTTACGGTAGCTTTAATAATGAGGTTTTACTAATGTAGAGATTGAATTGTATTTTACTTACACTTTTTGCACATTTAAATGGACAACCTGGATCTTCGAACTTTAATGCAGATTTTTATATTATTCCAGACTTTATAAAAATCTGAAAAAATATTTACTAGTGAAAAATTTAACGAAATTTTACTGTCATGGAAGTTAGATTCCATTTTTTACAGATTTATCTATTAGAATTCAAAATGTTGACTGTACCTTTAAAATTCAACATGGCTAACGATCAAGGGTTAGTTTGCTCTTAGATTTGTGTGTAATCTTAAATTCAAAAAATCTCTGAAAGTTTAGAAAGTCACGTGTGGCGAGAAAATAGGCAGAAAAGAAAATAAGAGAGAAAGAAATGTTGGTAGCGAGATGATTACTGGGCGGGCGAGTGTGTAATTTCGTAGCGCTTTATGGCCATCATAACATTTTTACCGCGTACTGCGTGCGCACAATTAGCGAGTTAGCCACTGTGTAATCACGCGTGTCATTAAAGTGCCTAAAGAAACGAAGACCAACTTCAGTATTAGCCGTGTCCCGTTCGACAGACGAATCCTGTGTTTAAAACCGATTTAAACGGGTAACTTGTTATTACACTACCGAAGTGTACATACCGCGACATTGCGCACCGTAAAAAAAAAGATTACGTGTGAAAAACTCACCGTGTTATACGCCAGTTACATTTGACTGTTATGTTTACCTAGCACTAGACGCTTATAAATTAGCCGCGATGAAGTGTTCCTTGCGAGACCTGATGGTGACGCACGACTTGTATTAACGTCGATCTGTACTGATAATCTCATCTTATATATATAACTAATACGATGCAGTGCTATCACGAATTAAATTGATTAACAATTTAATAATTATATATATATATATATATATATA